ACCTTAGGTGTATGTGGCTGGCGCCTTAGCCACTTGAGCCACAGGCACCAAGCCATATGAATCATCTTTATGAAAACATGAGAGCCATTCCTCACCATAATCTCTCTCTCTCTCCCCCGCCCTCTCTATACATGTATATAAAACTTTTTATATACAGAGAGCCAAAAAATGTACACACATTTTAAGAAAGGAAAAATCTGTATTGTATTTGGAATACTCAAGTCATGTTTGGCTGCTGCAGTTACAAGAGGTGCTCAGTGTGGTCTGTATTTCTTTTGTTATTGGTATATAGTGATGACAACAATCTTAACAACAGTTTTGTCCTTTCTTAAAATGGGCATACATTTTTGGCACCTGTATAAAGATACTATGTTATATATATTACATATATATATATATATATATATGAATTTCTTATCTATATATACACAGAACTTTCGATCGAAGATATTTACAGAAAAGTGCCTAAGACAGAGTGTATAATTCAAAGAATTCTCACAAAATAAACACACCCATGTCATTGGCACCAATACAAAAAATATAACCAGCACCCCAGAGACCCTCCTTGCAGCTCTTCTAGGACATCAAAGTAACTAGTATCCTAGTTTCTTATATTATAGTGTATCTTTGCCTATAAATGATAGGATAAAACTGGTAGTTTTTTGTTTTTTTTTTGTATTAAGCTTTCTATTTGCTTCAACATTGTCACTGCACATAGCAAAAGGGCACTTCTATTGTTGTATAGTATTCCATGGCATGATCAAATCACAATTTTTGTTATCTACTTTCGAGTTGATGGACATTTGTTTCCAGATAGGTGCTATTCCAAATAGTGCTGCTGTGAACATTTCTGTACATATGTTCTGATGGGCGTATGCAAGCCTTTATATTGGTTTTATTTTCAGGAATAGAATACTGATACCATCAATGGTAACTTATACTTTTATTACCTATGAAAAAGATTCAACATTTAAAATTTCTTCTGAATCACTCTCTACCTTTAGAATAATTTTAAGGAATTATGATTCTATCTGTACATTTTCAAAGTCTCTTTTTTCTTCTTTTTTTTTATTAAATCATCGCTGTGTATATTAATGCAGTTATGGGGCACAATGTGCTGATTTTATATACAATTTGAAATACTTTCATCACACTGGTTAACATAGCCTTTATGGCATTTTCTTAGTTATTATGTTAAGTCATTTATATTCTACATTTAGTAAGTTTCACACGTACCCTTGTAAAATGCACCATAGGTGTGGTCCCACCAATTACCCTCCCTCCACCCATCCTCACCCCTACTCTCCCCTCCCTTCCCCTCCCTCCCCCTTTCCCCATATTCTTGGGCTATAATTGAGTTATAGCTTTCATATGCAAGCTATAAATTAGTTTCATAGTAGGGCTGACTACATTGTATACTTTTTCTTCCATTCTTGAGATACTCTGCTAAGAAGAATATGTTCCAGCTCCATCCATGTAAACATGAAGGAGGTAAAGTCCCCATCTTTCTTTAAGGCTGCATAATATTCCATGGTATACATATACCACAATTTATTGATCCATTCATGGGTCGATGGGCACTTGAGCTTCTTCCATGACTTAG